ATAATAATAATAATAATAATAATAATAATAATAATAATAATAATAATGTAAAAATAATAATCTAATTTCCTCACTGAGAATTAATAAAGTTTGTCTATTCTATGTAAATACCCTATATTTTGCTTACAAAAGAAGAAAATTATATCTTTCTCCACAACTCATTGGTGTCTACCGTGAAGAAAATAATAATACTGGTAAATAATAATAATAATAATAATAATAATAATGAAACTAAAATAAAATTAAAAAAAGAATATAATTGGAGAGAATGACCTAACACAAACCTCTAACCGGACTATTTGTGTTTCAATTCAAGAAGACTTATTGAAAAAATTAAAAAAAAAATGTTTTTTGGAACCTCATTTGCTTTTTTTCCCCAAACACATTTCAGACTAAATATTGGAGTCTGTTCTGCTGCCATCTCAGAAGGTCAAGGCTCTTCATTCTAATATGATTAGTTCATGAAACAGTAACAGAAAGCAGCTGATGTGTTTTTAACAAAAGCCTGAAACCGCTGCAGTAAGTACATAGCATCATATTGTGAAGCCATGAGAAATGTGAATTTTAATGTCTAGTTGGGGAAAAATAACAACTACAAGAGATCAGTCTCAAAAATCACAGCAATTATTCTCAGTCAACATGACTGCCCTGAACAGTAGATCTGATGTGGCAGTGTATTTGCATTAAAATGCAATTTATACATTGTTCAAGCAGAGGATGTAACACCTACACAGAGAGAGAGCGTGACTCATCTCAATGTGTGCGTTACAACAGCGAGACACTTTTTCCTCTTGTGAACGCTCATTTTGGCAAATGTGTCCTCTGATTGAACAGCAGCTGTGAGCGCTGCCCCTGGTGGGATAAACCAGTGAGTGTTCTGGGTGGTTCGGCCCAGATCAGAGAGGAACTGTTCATAAGAGACTGTGGGGTTCTGTCATTCACAACCACGTGTGTCCACTCATTTCATCTCGCTGCCATCATATCAGTAACCCTGAGCCAAAGCATTCGTTGGGGTTAAAAGGTTTTATTAATGAAATAAGAAAGGTTTAGTCTGCAGAAAAAACATTGTCACACTTATAATGAACAATATTGATGTTGTGCACTGTTTTGAAACACATTGTGAATATTAAATTTAAAAGGACAACTGCTATTTTCAGTAAGCAAGTCTACTTTTCTGGCTGAAATTTACCCCCCCCCCCTATTTAAAATTAGAAACAATAGAATAATTTGTCCATTTGGACACTATCTTAAACAGTTTTTAGTTTTAATAATCATTCTGCACCGGTTGGTACTCTTCCCACCAAGCCATATTTAAATTGTGTTGTATGTATAATATAATTAATAATGTAATATACATTATATAATATGTATTATGTATATTGTGATGTATTTTGTTGATAATACCAACAAGAGCATTTTTTTTTGCCACTCACTAACGACAGATGTTAGAGCAAAATATGCTATAAGAGCTATGGAGATTGTTTTTGGTTTACTCCTTGACATCATTTTCATTTCAGTTGAACTCCTGATTTATCAGAACCAAGTGTTTGTGTACTGCTCCATCATCAGACCCAACAAGAATGTTGTAGAATCGGCGATGGTATATGTGCTTATGTAATTTCCTCCCTCTTACAATAGCGCTAAGCCAGTCGTGCTGTTTACTCTCCATCAAAGTCAGGGTTTGGAAGGTATTTTTTTCTTTGCCGCAGCTTCCCTGGTGTGACACCTGAGCAATCTAGCGTGGCTGTGTGTCTGTGATACGCCAAGCCAATTTACAGGCTCTGCGGGAGAGCTGTCACTTCTCATCCCAACCCACAACCACAGGACACGTCCTCGCTGTGTCCTGCTCCCGAGCCCTTCCCAAAAACATCAACACTTTAAAAGTTATAAATGTGCTTGATGAGCACATTTTTTAAAATTTTTATAAACATTTTGAAATACAAAAATGTAAAATACAACTAAAATCACAATTGTCTATAGGGTTGGCCAGGTTGTGGACAAGTTGAAGTTTAAAGTTATGTGCAACATTAGTTTGTTTTGTGTTTTTATTCATTTATATGACCAAACTTACATCTAGTAAAAACAAACTAAACTTGTTAGTGAGCATTACATAATGAGTCTTACTTGTTTTATAATTGCAATAACTTGTAAACATTAATAAATGGTTTCAGAGAAGTCTCTGTCGAGTAAAGTACATCTTACTTGAGTTACTACCAACTAACAGTCCATTGAACAACTTAGTTTAACTCCAAATTTCTTAACGGGGTTACTATTATAACATGTATGAAAGCAAGCATTTCTAAAAACAATATAAGATTTATGTTCAGCTGAGAAATTTGTGTTTATAGCTTAATAAATTAGTTATCAAAACTTAATAGAGTAAGTCTAAAACAATGAAACAAAATATATACATTCGCAAATGATGATGAGCCAACAGTGCAAATCTAAAGTTTATTGAAAGATTAAAGATGGTATCACGAACTGACTAGTTTTAAACCCAGAATAAGCAAAATGGTAGAGAGAACCCAACATTTGATTGAAAAGGTGAGTGCAGTTTATTGTGAATTGGAGATGTTTACATGGGTGAATTATAGAACTTGGAGTGTGGAGCAGCTGGAGGTTCCAGAGGAGTGGAGTACAGGTGGTGGTCATTGGAGTGAGGCAGGGTGGTAACCAGAAGAGCAGTTTCATTGTTGGCAGGTGGGCTTGATCTGAGGCTGTTCATAGGACTCAAGAGGTAAGTGGTTCCAGACAGACTCAAAGAGACCCAAGAAAGTTGAGCATGAAAAAAAACAATGGAGCAGGTTTGGACAAAAACACAAGGAAAGCACAGGTTAGTATTCTCAAGGAATTAAGTTATGTTGTGGCTGACACAAAGTACCCAAGGGATTCAATTATCCAGCGTTGAACTGCTGTCCCACAGGAGCTTAAATACAGCAGTCCTCCATCAGAGCAGGATCAGTAACAGGTGTGATGGGGTTGGCTCCACCCAGCCACTCAGGAGCTGCAGAAGCCAAGGAAGGCACAAAGTGCCCAGAATCTCCACAGTACTCCTTCTCAAGAATCGCCTCTCTGCATTCGCATGCGCTTCTTGGGGAGTTTCTTAAAAAAGGAAGTGCAGAGGCCAGGATTCTGGATAAAGAATTTGTGGGTCCGCAACCTGCATCTCTGGTCGTAACCCTCCCAGTCCACCAGGTACTGGTATCCTCGGCCTATGTGGTGGACATCTAGGATCGGCTGGACAGTGAAAGCCAAATGGTTATTGATGAACTGGGGGGTGGAAGGAGGTCGGTGGGTTTCAGGGGACTCATTGAAAGGTTTAACTTGAAAGACATAGGATGTTGGGCGAATTCTCCTGGAGTTTAGTAGTTGTAAACTAACAGCTGTGGGGTAGATGATTCTCACAATGGAGACAGGTCCAATAAACCTGGGCAAGGTTTCCTGATCAGTAATAGGTGTGATGGGGTTGACTCCACCCAGCCAATCAGGAGCTGCAGAAGCCAGGTAAGGCACAAAGCGCCCAGAGTCTTCACATTTGGTGTGTTAAAAATTAAATGAGATAACATTTCATATCTTGGTATTTACAAAAGTTCAACACATCTAGCTTTACATGCTTATCTGATCAGGTCTAGTTTTATGAATATCATTATTGGCATTCCACATCGAATCTCCGAGTCCACTTCAAACGTTATATCTATTCAAAGGCGTCCTTAAATTTACTCCTTCATTCGGATGTAAATCTTTACTTGGGTTCCTCCCTCACCCTTCTTTTTTCTCACAGCCTCTCTCTTCTAGAGGAAGCAAAAAAACAAAGTCAAAGGGGTTTTTTTTGTTTGTCATTCGCACCACACGTGGTACATGTGGTGGAATGAAACTGTGTACACAGGGTCCCAGTTACTTGCAACAATAATCAACAGTATCTGTTACAAAATGCCATAAAAACGTCAGCATTGTATAATAGTGAGATTAGGGGGTAGACATGTCTGCATAATGTGATATAAATACTTCATACAGCCCTCTTTGATGATTGCTTATACTAAATGTGAGCTTATACACATTAAAGTAATCAGAAAATGCAGTTTACATAGAAGTATTAATCATGTGGGCCTGCTGTAGTACAAGTTAATGTATAACGTGTTTGCATGGTCTCTTTCCACGGCAACAAACATATTCAACTCCAACACAATAGACCCTAGATCCCGGCTTGTTTCTGATCCTCAAGTCGTTACCTAATGGTAGCAATTAGCCAATTAGTCTGATTATATCCAGGGCGGGAGCCAAATTTAGTTGAACAGATTTTTGTTTCAAAAAAAGAAAAGGGGGCAGGGGGAGGGAGCACCCATTCCTCTATTAGACCACATTGACGGAGAGCACAAAGGCTCTATTGTTTACATCGTGCTTATAGAGGCAGTGTGAATAGCTGGCAGAGCGTTTGCGCGGTGAGCCTGCGTCAGTGTGCATTCGTATTTGTGAGAGAGAAGGGAAAGGAGAGAGGAGCAGCAGGTTGTTTTGTTGTGGCCCAGCAGCCATCAGATGTCTTCAAGCTCCTGGGCATGGAGTACCTCTCCTCTGAGCTTCCTCTTCAATTGATTCATTTACCCACAAAGCAGAGTGCCTGTTCCCTTCCCACATAATAGGCTTATTACAGTTTTAATGATTCTGTATATCCCTCTTTCCAGTATAATTCTTTGTTCTTGGGCCATCTTTGCAGTTTATAGTAATTCTAAGAAAAGTGCTAATATGTAGACGCATTGCAACTTTTTGAATAGGTTTATAAATGACAAAGGAACATGTATAAACTGTGTAAAATATTGTTCTGTTGAATAAAGCCAATAATGGGTTGCTACAGCATGATTTTTAAATTCCTATCAATCATTTAAATTGAAAAATGACATTGTTTAAATTGTGAGGCATGTGTTCCCATTATGCTGAAAAGTGAGCTGAAACAGTTCACTTGAGTTTTACCTTATAATGACAGATTCCTGTAGGATTTCTAATGTATGAAGTACTTAACTACAATCATGAAGCCCTCCCTGTGTTAAATTGCCCTTGACCAGAAAATTGCTATTCTATTATCACTCACAGGCAAAAGAAGTTTTAGTTAAAACCATTAATACAAATAGTTTGATTATCGTGAGTAAAACAATAAAAGCCAGTAATAAAAGAACAAACATAAAATGCATCTTTGTAACCCAAGGCTTTACAAAGCAGTTCTTTAGTGTTTCTTATGGTATATTGGGGGATTTTTATTCACTTCTTCACCAGAATCTATTTCTGCTTTTTATAGAAAAGGGTGTCAATATTCCTTCTTACTTCTTAAACTGACGCTATCCACCCCATGGTGTCTTACATGAATTGTGGCCGCGGCTTCTGACGTGGACCAAAACCGGCATTTGTTTATGCGCAAACAGTACGAGCTAACGTTTCTCCAAGCATTGTGGATGGAATTGAAACATGTAGGAACACCAGTTTCAAGAGCTCAAACAGGACAGTATAATCATACCACTGTCTGCTGAGGACAGGGATGGAAGATGACCTGAAGAAATGGCTGCAGATTGCATATTCTAGCATATTTAACTATTTCATCGACTCGGTTGCTTCCGACAGTGAAGTGATGAACAACCTGAAAAGCTTTGAGGCGTATTAATATCTACACAGTAATAAGGTCAGTCGCATTTTAAGAGGTGGGACACAGTCTTATTTACCTTAAAGCAGACATCTGCCCAGCTAAAGCCTTAAAGTCCTCCATCACCGAGTGTGGGTTAATTGCAGAGAAAATTGTAATACTAAAGACGAACAAATACTATATCCTTCATACACTTGAAATCATACCTGATATTCTCGTCACGCGGTTTTCAGTCCTTCTGAGGACCCGGCGTCTCATCTCCAGTGGTTTATTGTAGTCCAGCCACAAAGTAGGATGCAGGTTTTTCTCCGTCGGCCGTTTGTCAACAGAGTGAAATGAGCTCACTTACAGCGTTTTGGGTGGTCTCTTCTAGTTCAGATTTTTCAGCCACATTCAATTCCTCATCTGTAGGTATGAGATGGAAACTATACCGCTTTTCACTGGAACACTTTTTTTTTGTTTTGGGTGCGTGTTCAAAACTGTTGTTGTAGCCACTGATTTAGTTTGGTCTGGGTGTTCGTGCAGCTGCAAACAACGCAAGTAGCCTACCTGAACTCAACAAGGCTATTAAACTTTATGGTTGTTAAATAAATGTGAACAAAACAAAAACTGTGGGGTTTTTTCTGCTAAATTGAATGCAAATTACTTTCAAATAAACCGTGGTCCGTGCTCCACTACCATGGTTAACCATTGCTTACTGCTACTTCCAGTGTCTGACGGGAAGTTGTACCATAATCATTTATTCAATAGAGCCCTCAGGAATAAGGTGGATTTAATGACTGATTTTCAAAAGATGATGACTGGAGGTGTCGGTGCAAGTTTTGCCACATCATCACTGTGCCATTTGTAACAGTTTGGCTATTTTAACCTTGTGAATCTGTACATCAGTGCTGAGGAACAAAGCACCACCATTATTTGGGGGAGCAACATTTTGCCAATTGTAGACTTGGCCTCCAAATGCAGCGAGCTCCTACAGTGTTTTTGTTGATACTGATTTAGCTAGAAGCTTTCTTCACTGCATAACTACAGCTAGTTTTTGAAATGACAGCTTGACAAGGTGCTAACAACTTACCTTTTTCTTCTTTTTTCCCTTTTACCAAAGACATCAACCAATTTTGCTCCAACAATATGCCGTCACTGGAAATCTGTCCTTTTGACAGAGGTGACAACAGTTTCCTGGTTATTTTTTTAAACACAGAACTATTGCATATATATCTCTTTTTTTTGTATTTGTATCCAAAAACTATGTTAAAATAGCATTATTATTATTAATATCATTTTCCTTCTTATGTCCAAACTAATTTGTTTTCTCTTTCTTCTCTCTATGACTAAAGAGGATACTAGTGGAAAGTATGGTTTGGTATCTTGTCCAGTCATATGTTTTCCTCATTTTGTTAAAGAAATATGTAACCTCTAGTTCAGGGGTGCTCAATCCTGGTCCTCGGGGGCCTCTATCATGCATCTTTTAGAAGTTTTCCTGCTCAGACACATTTGATTTCAATAAATAGGTGCTTAACAGGCTTCTGTCGAACTTAAATAAGTAATTTAATGGATCGGGTGTGTTGAAGCAGGAAAACATGCAGGACAGATGCCCTCGAGGACTAGGATTAGACAATCCTTCTCAAATTTAACCTCAAACTCTGCCAATTATTAGCAAGTCAGTGAATGACCACAAAACCAAAAGACTATAACAAATGACAAACTTACCCATGATCTCTCATCAGTTTCTAACTTGTATTTAAGGGGCCAAACAAACCAAATAAGCAGTTTTTGAAGAAGTTTAATGAATATGAATGGAACAAATCAATAAAATTGGTAATGAATGATTTGGTGCTCGTATGAGTGTGCTAGCAGGAACCCACATGCTTGGTGACCGCAAAGGACAAGGGGAAACAACAGTTTTAGTTACGTCAAAGTCTAAGTTGATAGAGTTTTCAAGAGGAACAAGATTTCAGTGGCCAGCTGTTGCTCAATAAGCCATGGCCTCTTTCCATTAGGCCAGAGGAGTTAATAAGACATGAGACAGGCCAGACCCAAGTGAGAAATGAAGGTCATTGAGTCACCAAGCAGACTGCATCCATCCATGAGGGCCAGCATTTCACACAGTCCACAGGTTTCCGAAGCCAGTAGACAGAAACAAACTGTAATTTACACTGGCTGACTGAAAAGGCTGGAGTCCACAGGCTGAAATTATTCTCAAAAATCACAACATCTCCCAAAAGCTAACCCTTTTAGACAGAGGACATGATCTGATTAGCGCTCAGCTTTTCCGCCTGACCCATTATCACTTAACAAGTTGGCCCTGACCTCAAAGACAGACATTCATTATTTCACGGCTAGTTTAACATTCACTTGTGTTTTTGTTGTTACTCCACCACATAAGAACCTTACCACAATCACCACTCTAACTCACCATCATTCAAATGCCAAACCATTACACTGACAGAACTCTGGATCATTTCCTGTCATCTCAGGTGTTCTCTCAATAGAGTCAACACAAATTAAAGCCTATAGATAATCCCAAAAAAAGAAAATAAATCCTGCATCTTCTTCCTTATAAACCATCAGTGTGGTGGCATAATTTGTACAGAAACCCACAGGCAATTTTCTGCATGTGCAATAAGACAATGATCTGTAGTTGTGAAACGTTGTGGCCTTTCTGTGATAACGCCTGAGGAAATATTTTTGTTCAATCTCTGCCTGCCATGACTTCTCTGTATCTGACTGTAATGTCAGTCTGCTGCTGTAGTCTTGGTTAAGGAATAATTGGACACACCTTCAACAATGTTCCTTTAACACCCTACTCTGGCATTAGCAAGGTCAAAACCTGTTCAGTGTGTGACCAAAGCAAGTGCAGACCAGACTGACTGTACTGTAGACTCATCGACTGATGATCATTTCTGCTGGGGCTCCTCAGTGTAATGGACCAACGATGAATGGGTTTGTTTGTTCTTGAGTGAGGAGAGCCATGTGGTTTCTGTAGGGACTTTACATTAGTTCCATTGATTGAGTCGACCATCTGCCCGCCATTAACCCCAGAACCCTCCTTCTCTTTACAGGCTGGACAATTTGCTTAATATGGCCTATGGCGTAAAGAGGTAATTAAAAACTTCACCAAATGCCAGATGTCTATGTTGACTCAATGATTTTTCAACATATTTTTACGTTCTTTTATCTTAAGTTGTGTTTTTGGGGTTTTGCAGTCACTTTAAGTTTGACTATTTGTTCAAGGTCAACAGCATTTTTGGTTCTTTGATTTAGTTGGGCAATTTTTTTTTTTTGTATTTATTTTTTCTTTGTTTTAGCTTGAAATGGCAGTTTAAATCTTTCCAACCACTTCCGTCTAATGAACAGAAACAGTCTTTGTTTTTAGTGCTGATGAATTTGCTTTGCTTTGATTATGACAAGTGATGGTGGTTTGTGGATTGTTTTGGGTTGATTCTGTGTACTGAACAGATTTTGTTCTTTAGTGTACAACTTTTGGTTTTTAAGTGTGTGTTTTGTTTTATTTTCTCTGCAGGATTCAGGTTCTCCAACCTTGTCACTTTGCAACTATAAATCTGAAGCAGTGTTCTTCTAAGGGTTTTTCTTAAGCTATCATTTGAATGTCCTATTTTTGTACATTGACCATCACTTATGCACACACTATTTTATATAATCTACATCTGATTTGTGTAATAAAGTGAATACTTATCCTCTTCATAGTTAAGGTCTTACAAAGATTTGGAAAGGAGACTTGAGATAAGGTTGGTTGAACTTGGATCCCTGCTGGAAACAGGAAATGCTGTTTCACTGCAGATAGCTCAAGCTTTGCTTGGCACTGCTCTTTCTAATTTTCCTTTGCCTTCATCTTTCAATTTGCTTTCTTGCTTTAATATATGTTACATAATTCAGAAGGGCAGCTACAGCAGCAATAGATGTTTGATGTGCTGACAATGGTATATTGCATGTTGCAAGCACAGGGGACACCATCAGTCAGTTGGCTGAGTAAGTCTAAACTTTAGCACAAGTGGAAGTTTTGTGTGTAAAAATGTTTTTTGACATATATGAACATGATTTTTTTTTAATCAATATGATAAAGCTCCAATGTTAGAGTCAGAGAATTTCCCTTCAGTGCCTGTCCTTCATATAACTTCCTGAAAGAAAAAATAGTGTCCGATTCAGCTGTGCTGATTGCATTGAATGCCATCAAGTAACAAGTGTTGTTGAGTGATCTTAGTGTTAAGAGCTGGAATGGTTTAGATTTAGAAAGGACAGAATAGATATGTGGTCAGCTCCTCTGTTGCTATGCAACCTCTGTTCTCATCCGTAACATGAGATGATAACATGAGAAGAACATAAGATGGGTGTACTCGATTATATGTTTCTACTATGTTTCACACACACTGATATTCAACCAAACCATCATCGCAACGCACTCACCGACCTAAAAACTCTCCACCCTTTGTTTACACTCTTCTCATTCAGCAGAGAACGCATCAGCCCTTTTTGTATTCGACATCCTTTAGTTAGAGAAAATGTCAGAATCTTCTTAAATTGATCAAGACTGTCTTTTTTTTTTCTTCTATAAAAATGCTGTTGGCAAAATCATCTGATGATAGTAAATAAAATGTTTTTTGTTTGACACAAATAGTTCAGAATTATGACGTTTTTGATTCCATCTGAAGCACTTGAAGTGATAAATACCTAAACTAATATTTAACTGCGCCTGTGGTCCTCACAAAAATCTGTGCGACCAATGAGTTAACTATCCTTGTTGCTCATTTTAGTGTCAAAAATCCAGAAACAGGCTTCACGTGACTAATGTCATGCAGGGAGGTCGTAGTGATTGCAGACCTTTTATAGTCACTAGAAACAGAAGGCTTGAGGGCCCAAGCAGCAGGCAGTGCTATCAATCAGTGCCACAACCTCTGCAAAAGAAGAGATCAGAACACCCTGCATGAGGAGAGGAATACACTTTACCTTAATACCACTGGGCTGCAAAGTGTTTCCATTTTTCATTTAGTTTGCTCTATATTCTCCCTTCTTTTTCTTAAGAAAGCAGCCTTCTCTGAGACAGCTGCAGCAAAGCAGAAATCTCAATTAAAGCCCTTCCAATAACGCCTACAATAGTTTCTTGGAAAGAGGTGGCATAAGAAATTAACCATTTTATTTCATTTACCTTTTATTTATAAGTGGTGGTGGGTTTTCACCCCCCTCTTTCATTTTAGCGGAAAGGCAATTAAGTGAAGTCAACTGAGGATTCAAATCTTTTGCATCAGAGAAAAAGGAGAAGATTAGGAGGCAAATGAGAGCAGATTTAGCAGGCTGGTGCATGATCTTTGATGAATTTCTAGCAATGGTTTAATTAAACAACTTCCTGCAATTTGTCCCAGAAAGAAGCCACTCGAGGACACAAAGACAGAAGATTCATCGGCATCTTTTTCAGCAGAAGTGTAGCTCAGCACAGGCAGCACTGTCGTCAGTCGTGACAGGAGACCTTTCAAAGCTGATGAGCAACTGGGAGAGTTTAGTTCCAGTTGTGTAGTTGCACTCAAACCTGCATTTTTAGACATTAAAGGAATGGTGTGTGGTGGGGTTCTGTGAAGAGGTTATGGGTGCTCAGTTTTTCACCTGCAGCAATCAGAGTGACATCAGTTTAGAGAATCAGAGACAATTGTGTGGAAAAGTTAAGCTAACAGTAAGAAATACTGAGGCCTTTTCCACAGCAGGTTTACATCATCAAAAACAAGTCAAACCTCAAACAGTTAGAGTAAATGCTCTAGCGTCAAATTCTTTTTTATAATTTTTTTGGTTTTAAATTAGGCAACACGGTGGTGCAGTTGGTATAGCTGCTGCCTCTCAGCAAGCAGGTCACCCCGGTTCAAATCCCGGCCTGGCAGCCCTTCTGGGTGGAGTTTGCATGTTCTCTCCGTGCATGCGTGGGTTTTCTCCGGGTACTCCGATTTCCACCCACAGACCAAAAACATACAGATCTCCAGTCCAGGGTTTTCCCCACATCTTGCAAAGTGACAGATAGGCATGGGCACCAGTGACCCCCGCGACCTGAAAAAGGACGAAGCGGATAAAGATAATGGATGGATGGATGGATGGATGGTTTTAAGTTGTTTAAACTGACAGAAAATTATTTTGGGGGAAAAAACGGGGCTTCTTATAACCTCTCCACAGGAACACACTTTAGAAAACCTGAGCCATTCTTTTAAAGTAGTTTTTTTCTGTATTAATTGAGTTATCTTAGGAAGGTGTGGCATGCACATTAGTGGCTTTGGTTTGGACAGTGGCTTACTTTAAAGTTGGAACTTTTTTCTTTGAAAGTTGCATTTTACCAAATTCTTTTTTCATTGAACTGTGAGGGCTAACTGTTTCATTGCGTGCCCTGAATTATTCTACTAACACTGTCTTCTTTCCCATCACTGTCTCAGGTTTTCTCCCATCACCATTGACAGCATGACCAGCCTGGTTGGCATGAACATCCCTGGGCACACAGGCACCGGTTGGTGCATCTTTGTGTACAACCTGTCCCCAGATTCAGACGAGAGTGTGCTCTGGCAGCTGTTCGGGCCATTCGGTGCCGTCAACAACGTCAAGGTTATCCGTGACTTCAACACCAACAAGTGCAAAGGCTTCGGCTTTGTCACAATGACGAATTACGACGAAGCGGCTATGGCCATCGCCAGTCTCAATGGCTACAGGTTGGGCGACCGTGTCTTGCAAGTCTCCTTCAAGACTAACAAGACACACAAGTCCTGAACTTTAGACAGATAGAAGCAGATGTCCCACGCCTATATCTGCTACAAAATTGCCCCAACCCCCTCCTTTCCGCTTCCACTCGTCCCTTAGCCCCTTCAGTCACTACCACCACCACCCGACTACAGCCATCCAACAAAGCAAACTCAAACTTCAACTGGAACAGAAATCAACCAACAAATTGAACTATAAATGGCTTATATTATAACTTTGGACCTATAAGCCAATGTTGCCTGAGTATTACAAAAATTAAATGATGAAAATGTTCACAAGTTTTTAGAAGCTCCTGTGATAATGCAGGCTTCTGTTTGTTGTATATTCTTTTTGTTTGTTGTGGTTGTTAAGATGATTTTTCTCTTCTGTGTAAAACAGTAGCAACTTCTTGTATCCCCTTATTTCAGAGAAAAGAATGTCCTTTTTAGACTGGAACCTTTTCTCTGCCTTGATTCAGGATTTAGTTTTCTTTTGTAAATCCGGATCCACTGTCGTTGTTATTATACGCCTCCCTGTCAGATGAAAGGGAGGGGCTCTTTTTTAAATTAGTGAATCCATTCATTCATTTGTAGTGGGTTTTACAAACTCCCCCTCACTGAATATAGATGGGATACCAGAATCCCAGTAACTCAGATATAGAATAAAAAGTTTCTAACATTGTATTTTTTATTTTATTTTTTGTTTTTGTATCACAAACAAAACATAATGTCTATCCTCACTGGGTTTCAGGGAGATGGGGTGAGGGAGGGGATGGGTTAGCTTTCCTGATGACACGTTCAGTAATTTAAGAACAAAAAAAAAAAAACACATAACACTGTTGCCAAAGAGAAGATCTCTTTGCTTGGGGGAAAAAAAATGCATTTAGAAAAAGATAAAAATAAATAGAAAGAAGATCTATTTTTATAAACGATAATTAAAATAATTATTGAAGAATTTTTACAGGAATCTGGATTTGAAAAAAAAGAAAAAGAGAAAAATATTTTGACTGGCTAACTAGCGGGGGCCGCGGCGGGTGGGAGGGGGCACCACCTCGTCTTGTCCTTTTGCCGTGGTACTTTATAGGATCGAAAGGTTGTTTTTTCGTGAATCCGAGTTGGTTGTGATTTTGTAGACGGCTGGTTTTGTGAAAAAAAAAAAGGGATGCAAACTGAGGCAGGTGATTTTGGTAATTTTTCACACATGTACCAGTGCATAACTATTCAACAGCGATACCCAAAAGGGAAAGGGAAAGAGGTCTTTCCAAGACCTGGAAAACTTTATAGATCAGAGCCCAAAGCAAGAAGACCCTTTGTCCACTTGTTTTCTTGTTTTTGTCATCAGTCAGTATGGGACATTAGTACAGATATATTTACACGTATCAATTTAACGAGCATACTATACATTATATATAATTTTCTTTGCTCTGAGTTTGTGAACTTACATCCGAAAAGAACTTCCTTTTAGCGATCAATGGTAGGTGCTAAACTACATTATTCACATATGTTAAATATCCAAGTTTGTTGTTCTATGTGTTGTTTAAAAGAAAAGTACTTTGATGTTTGCATTCAATTGAGCTGCTGTTCTTCGTTTGACATTTGTTTAATGTTGGCCCAGAAATCTGGTGAGACTGTTTCTTTGCTGAATTGCTAGATTAAACAAATTTGGGGCCTTGTAAGAATCACTGAACAAAACTTTTGTCTTTATCTTTACGTTGGTTTGTTTGTTTGGTTTGGCTTGCTGACTTTTAGGTTACTCGCTGAGCGTGAAACGTTTGTCCGAACTTAATGATGATTAGCTAGTTCCGTTAGTCTAGATATTTTCCTTAAACAGGATCTATGACAACTGTGTCTTTATTTGCTGTGTACAAATAGATGATATATATAAATATATATAGTCTACATTTGTTTTACAATATCTACTGTACTATCTAAGTTGTCACTGTTCTTTTGTTTGAGCTTGTCTTTTTCATATGAGAATTTATTATGAAGTGGTGGATCAGTTACTTAGAAAAAAAAAACTTGTGAGGAAACTGTTCAATTGTTGTCATGTTGCTTGTGGAGAAAAAAAAATTGGATTAACTTTCAGTTAACTACCGCGGCAAAAGAAATCGATCAAAAGCTTGAGATATAATTGTATTTGACGGTTTATTTACTTATCTATTTTCAAACTATTTATTTTTTTATTTCTATTTATTATATATTTATTATTGACTTAATTTATAAGTGTATTTATGTATTTATTTGTTTCACTGTCTATGTATTTGCGTGATTCTGGTACAGGGAGGGGGGTGTTTCTGAGCAAAAGGGAACAAAGCGACTAGTGGAGAGGCTCTTCCAGTAGTCCACTGCACTGAGAGAACTTTTAGTACGTTTGTGCTTTGTACCAATATATCAAAATTACCATATAAAAAATCTAAAAGTCAATAAAACTGAAAAAAATTGTCTGGAGGGTTAGGGGACGCTCTTCCCTTATTACTAGAAACAGTTACTCGCTATGCATAACCTAGTTAATAGTTAAATTTGCTATTGCTTTTTTCCTTGTCTTGTTAAAAATGAAATCTTTAGATCTTTTTCAATAAAGTTTAGTCTTAATAGAATGTTATAAACAGTCGTTCTGGTTCAATATAACCTGTGATAAGTTTGTGTAGTTTTAAAAAAAGCCACTCCGTCCACACCCTCCCTCCACTTACTACCGCTTTGTGATGAAACCTTATGCAAAAATGTGGGTCTGAAAGGTTTTTACGTTTTTCAGTGAACATTGTATTCAACATTCAGCTCTTAGAGGCAGAAAAGCTTTTTAAGTTGTTGTTTGAGGGTCATTCATTGCACGGGACTTGCTCAATCAAAGTCACTGAAAGGTCAAAAATTTATTTTTGAGATCATGTTTTCAAATGACGTACCAACAAATCTTTAAAGATAAAGACAAGTTGTAACAATTGCACACTAAACTGCTATTTACAGCAGCTGTTGCTATATTTAAGAAATGCTCTGGAGGTATATAAAAAAAGGATTGTGTCGATTCTATATTTTATATACATTAATATGATATATATTATATATTTTAAAAAGGTAAGGGAATGGTTCCAGAAATATAAATATTTAAAAAATTGGATTTTTATCTGTTTGTTGCTAAGACTTGAAAACATGAAGGAGGTGTGTGGAGAGCAACACTCAGCCTCACGCTCGCATCCTTTTCTCCTGACACCTCGCTCATCTGACAAAGCCGGGCCATCTTGATATCATCGCCATAATCCAGTCATCATCTGCATCAGCCGTTCGCAAAGTGTTCCCATGTCACGACAGCAACAAACCAACCAGACCCCTTCATGCTCTTCGCTGCCGTTGGGAGCTTGAAATATGCAACGACCCCAGTAGAATGTTCTGACGTGTGACTTTCCTACACGGTGTGACTTTTAAACTCTTATGATGCGCGCTTGTGTGTGTGTGGGCGTGCATGTGAGCATGTTTCTTAATGTACTTGTCCACATATTTTCCTTTTGCTTGGAGCAGACTTGTGCGTGTATGCGCAGTGCAAACTTTGTCCAGTGCACATACACAAATGCACGTCTGCTTGGGCGCTTGAGTCTGACCAAGAAGTCAGGGGTGATTGTTCTGAGTGTGTGTGTATGTGTGTGTGTGTGTGCGCATGTCAGGGTGTTTGAAACATGGGGCTGTGTCACCTCGCTCCGTGCCCGACCCCTATGGCTCACACCATCTCCCTGTAGCGCCTTATAGTGGCAGCCTGCCAGTAGGAACAACGCAGCCAGTAGTGGAGGAGGGAAGGTGAACAGAGGAACTAGGCTCTTCTTGTTGCTTTTCATTTTCCTTCTGGAGACGTGTTTATTTGCTATCTGAGAAATCTATAAACAAAATCTTTAAAGACAAAAAAGATGAAAAAAAAAAAATGTTCACGAGGCCTCACGACCGCGGCGCTCTCTACTCTCCTGCTTATGTTATTACTTAACAATTATCAACAATGATTATTATGATTATTATTGCTATTATTCTTAGTATTCTTATTATTAATCCAATTACTGCGATGAATGACTTCATGTTATCCTTGCTAGTTTAGGTCATTTCTGAAACTGGAAACAAAATAAAAATCTTGCTGTAAATGTTTGTTTTTTTCTTTTTCATAAAACTGTTGTGTTTAAATTATTTGTACTTTTGAATGTTGGGACAATAAAATGAGGTGTTAAAAACTGGGATGTTGTTTGTCATTAAAAAAAAAAGAAACCTTCACATATTTCAGACTGCCTATTTGTACTATAGAAATTAGTCGCTTCCCATTATCTTACTCTTTTTTTTTTTTTTTTTACCAGTTAGACTGAAATAAGGAAATCATTTAGGACAGAGAGATATTCGTCCTAATGTTCCTAATTTTAAAAATGCACTATTATAATAATACTTAGTGAGTACTGTAAGAAAAAAAGAGCAAATGGTTTTTGTTTTCATATCATTTGACCAGCTAACTGCAAACAATTTTAATCAAAGCTTGGGCTTTTTAAATTAAAAGGTTTTAGCTATTTTTAAAAACTACAAATATTACTCAAAAATAAGTTGCTTTGTCTCTAAAATACCACACAGCAAAGATGCAGCAGCCAATCAAACGTAATCTAGATTCAGCGTGACCTTTAAGCTACTGAGAGACGGTGGTGGCTGTGAGGGAGTAACACTGCAGACATAAAATGCACCAGTGATCTCCATGAGCCCTCTGAGGTTCAGCTGTAGGACAAAAGAGACAAAAAAAATACTGCATCTGTATCTTTGTGCCTTACTTTCACCTTTCTCCTTGTTTTAGACTAATTAAAACAAGGGCTGGATCATCACTGAAGCTTTGTGATGCATAAAATGTATTAAATATAGTAAAAGCTTCAACTGGGATGAACTCAAAATGTCGTTAAAAATCAGAAAACATAAAACTGAATAATCTTTAATGAAATAAAGACTTTTCTAACATCTAAGTGAGTATTGAGCCTGTGCACGTATGAGCACATTCATCAATAAACAAATGAAGCCAAACAAATCCCACAGACAACAAATGCATTGTTTAGGATTAGCCCATAGTTTTATGTAATCCTCTGCTCATTCTCTGTGCAGCACTAAAATATATTTGTTATTTAAAACTGCTACACGTTAAATCACCATCCCTTTATGGAGAATGAAACATAATTGTGACAGATCCATCTCTTATCTGAATGTTGGGAGTCTCAAAGAAAAAACTACAACAAAAATACTTTTCAAGTCTCCTTTCTGCAACAGGTGAAGCAAAATAAGTGGCATAACAGTTATAAACACAGCATGGATTAATAATAAAAGTAACTATATGATTTGACTACTAA